CGGCCGGCCGCTTCCGGCGAACGGCGCCGCACCCGCCGCGCACTACGACGCACTTCCGGCCTGTGGGACCGCTCTCCTCATGGCTTCCGACAGGGGGCGATGGGGCCTCGGGAACGCGGCGCTGGCCGTTAGCCCTCTTGTACTCGGAGTCGCAGTACTGCCTCCCCCTCCTCCCACCCTCCCCCTCCCCCTTAGTTCCGGGCTCTTTTCGCGAAGGAGCGCCGCCATTACCGGGGAGTGGAAGCTAGGAAGAGAGCGCATGCGCAAGGGCTACACGTTCCGACAGGCCTCGAGAGTAGCGGCCCAGTACTTTGTGGGAGATGTAGTTTTTCAGAGGCGGAGGCCGCGGCGCTCTGCCGACAGAGGACTCAGTTTCCCAGAGGGCCGAGCGCGGCGCAAGATGGAGGCGGCCGGGCCACAGTGAGCCGGTAGGTTTGTGGTGCGGTGATGGCGGCATGGGCTAGTCGGGTTTCGGGGAAGCCTCCGTGCGCAGCCTACTGCCCGGATCCCGGAGCCGCCCGTGCCTCGGGACCGGTCCTTGGGACCCCGAGACGCGTGCGGCCCGGACCGTGGCCCACCCAGGCCCACTAGGTCCCCGAGACCCAGGCCCCGACAGGGAGAGCCCGTTAGGCAGGCGGCGAGGCTCTGGGCACGTACAGGGGAGAAAGTCAAGGCTCTGCTTCCAAAGAGGGAGAGAGAGCCGGCGAGGAAGCCGGGGGTCCCGCTCCCTGGGACTTGGCCTGCCCAGACCCCGGCCCTCTGAGGCCCCCGCCCCCAGCCCAGACTCAGCTGCGCCGTCCGCTGGGCTCACGAAGTTCTCAGAGAGCTCCCAAGAGACAGGTGTCCGGACTCCTTCTCTTGGGGGCTCGGTGTCCCTGTCCCCGCCGCGAGTGCCCCACTGATCCTGCTACTTCTCTTAGTGGCGGGAGCGGGACGTCCCCAGCGGTGCAGCCGCCAGGAGTGCGAGTTTGGGAGCCAGGAGTCGGCTTGGAACCCCAGCTTTGCCTGCAGCGTACTGAGCGACGGGCAGAGCGTCTCCCTCACTGGCCCTGCCAGCCCCCAGGCAGACGCTGCGGGGTGTGCTCAGCATCCCCCCTCCCGGAGGCGTTGCTTCATTGTGGGAGTCGCGTCCCAGAGGAATGGAGATCTCGCCTGTGTTTGACCTGGTCCAGGGCACTCAGAGCCCCTCTGGTCCTCCTGGCTTGTTCCTCGGTGGGTGCGTCAGCAGTGCCCCCCCCCCCCCCCCGGGCGAGGGAGGCTTGGCGCAGGGGACGGAGATGGTGAAAGGATGGCCGGGAGCTCGGCAGAAGGGTGAGGCTGGGCTGACCTCTGGGCCTGGAGACAGGCTGCAAAGTGCCCGGCCACACGCGGCCATGAAAC